TTTTTATATTTAATTTTTTTGTCTTGTGCACCGAGTTAAGAGGCATTAAATATATACCATCTTTTATTATCAATAAAATGTTTCAAATTTTGTTTCTTTGATCAAGTATATTAGATGAAATTTATAATATAGTTTTACATCTTAATTAAGGAGTCTCATTTTATTTAAAGAATATATTTAAAAGTATATAAAAATTTATATCAGATGATTTTTGGTTGAAGTAATAGCAACTGAATGAGCATAATTGATTTCATTGTTGGGGTTTGATGTCAGGAACCATTTATAGCAAAAGGCTCGAATCATGAGGAGACGGGAACACTGATTTGCAATAAAATTCCAAGTTTTATTGAATAGCATTAAATCAAAAGATAAACATATCATGAGGATATCGTCCACTCATTTTCTACACAAATATTTTTAAGTTTTTTATGTCATAAATACCAACTTTTATTTTTTTTTTGGGCGGGGATGATGGGATTCCTTGCCGACAATCTGAGTTTTTCTTTTTTAATTCTATTTTTATTTTTTAAGTTAATTAGGTTTCCCTATTTTTAATATTATTCAAATTGAATGCTTAATTTATTTTTGTCTGATTCAAATCCTCAAAATTATATTTTTATTTCAATTTTGGGAATTTCATAATAAAATTAAAACATTAAACTATTTTAAAAGTTCAAAACTAAAAAAAATCAGTATGAATTATACAAGTTAAAGGTTTAATTATAAATATTTATTCAAATCCTATATCATCTTTTGGTGTGATTTTGTAAATTTCTACAACCTGTATAATACTATAAATATTTAGCTTTCTTCTTCATAATCCCATTTTACTCAAATATATAATTAAAACATTTAGTACTCATCATATAACTCAAATAAAAAATTTATTAATCGATCACTATGAATTATACAAGGTTTAATTATTACCATGGTCATAAATAAACAAAACATTTATGTGGTGATTAAACAATAAATTTAGAATGCCCAATGACAGCACACATAATGTTTTCAGAGAGATGACAATAAATAGTATAACATTATGGCATACCTACTACAAATCCTTATTAAATTATAAATATAGTTGTAATAATAAGTAACCGAGAATAAATAACTAAAAATTTTATTGACAGTGGCAAAGGAGACATGCCGCAGCAGATTATTTTAGCAGCGCGAAATGTAGACCTAGATTCTGTACTATCAAAATAAAGCATCATCCATTGCATTCAATGGGATAACGCATTTATCACATTCAAAAATTATTCAATAACAATGAGCGGTAGAAAAATATACTTTTTAATTTCTAACACTTTTTATTTATTAGTTAAATTTTTTTAAATTATAAAATATTAACAAATTATTTAATTAAGAGTAAAAGAATATTTAATAATTCTAAGTAGAGATGGCAATGAGTAGGGTATTATAGTACTCATCTCCATACCCGCGTTTTAAAAAAATACTCGTACCCGACCCTATCCCACATGAGTATGAACATTAATTCTCGTACCCATACCCTCTGGGTACCCGTGTAATGCCCCGAATTTTTATAATATTAATTATTGTATTTATATAAATTTAAATGCATATATGTGTGTGTTGACTTACTTGATAATGATGTTTATGTGTATTAAATATATGGATGTGTGTATTGTGTGTATGCATGACTAGATAGGGCTGAAATGGCTTAAGTGCCTAAGTACAGGGAGTAATTATGGGTTGTTCTCGCTGCAGCGAGAGAATTCTCACTGTAGCGAGAGGGCCCTGGGAGGAAGGACCAGAACTGTCGCCTTCTCGCTGTAGCGAGAGACGTCTCACTATAGCGACAGAGCGATAGTTTGGGGTGCATTTCTGGGTGTAGTCTCGCTATAGCGAGATTCTGCAGAAACCAGGGTGCAGTTTCGTCTGATATTTTCGTTGCAGCGTGAGGGCGTGTCGTTGCAGCGAGGGGACCTCGCTGCAGCAAGAATATCTCGCTGTAGCGAGCGTGTCGCAACCAGGAAAGGATTTATAGGGAGTTAGGGATTGGGAAGGGTTATTTCTCCATCTCCCTTCAAATTCCCTTTGATCCTCTCATTCCCAAACCCTTTTCTACCGATTATATTGCTTCCAAAGCCGTTCGAAAGCTTGATTCAAGGTTGAATCCGTGTGGGGAACGCTTGGAGGTGAGTTTTAATGGTTATGGTTCCATTTCTTATCCCCTTTTCTCTGTTTCTGGGTTTTCTTGGGTTCTCATGGAGTTCTTCCATGTGTTTTAGGCTGCAATCTGTGTAGGGAGCACATCTGTGGTCGAATTCAAGTGTGGGTCTTCAAATAACGTAAAGGGGGACTCTATCCTACTCTTTTGTGCATGAATTGTTGATATTCTGCTGAATATTGTGTTGTGGCTGAGTTAGTGGATAGGAAATTGCTGAGAAATGTAATGTGGGCCATGTATTGTGATATGTGAACATTATGTGTATTGATCCGAAATTGATGGATTTGGATTATATGTAAATGTTGTGTGATAGAATGAGTATGGGCACTTGTGCTGTATATTTGAATGAATATTGTGAAAATGTGGGCCCAAGGACCGTGTAATATGAGCGATAATTGTAGGCTGCGTGCTGTGAATTGAATATAGGCTGTGTGCCGTGTATAAGCATGAATATTGCGTGCGTGAATAAAATATATGTGAATGAGGCGTGTAGCGCCGTTGCAATGTGTTGTGAATGGTTAGAGAGTGGTGGTGACACCGACTGTGGAACAGGTGCACTACGGGCCACACACTCTCTTCCTGACTAGACCTCTGACTATTACCTTTACTGAGCGACCCGTAACTGCCCACGTGGTATCCGTGAAGCGGGGGTAACCAGCGACCATTCATGATGTAAATCTGTGATCACAGTGCCACAGTGAATGTGGCTGGCGTGTGTATGCACGAATTTATGAATTGTACTTATGAATGTAAAGTGCTGCCAATGTCGTGAGTGCATCAGTGTTAAATTGACATGAGCTGTGTAATAATGTTGTTTGTGATTGTATTTGCTTAATGTATTGGTAATGTGCTAGAGGTGAGACTCTATACTGACTATGTGCTTTTGGGTAGTGTAAAGTACTTACCCTTACATTCATTTTCAGGTAATCAAGACGATCAATATCGGACTTAGTGAAGGGGTGGATAGAACTGCTATAGAACTTATGATATTATTTTAGAAAACTGTTGTATTTGAATAAGTTATGTAGCACCTGTTTGATATAATTCGTAATCCCTTTCTCTATTTGAAATGGTTGATGAAACTTGAATTAAAAATAAAAATTTTATTATTTCAAAAAGTTGCAAAATTTCTTATTTATTGAAATTAAATTTAAGGTGTTACAACCTGTATACCCATCTTGTACCCATTACCCGCGCTTATTTGAGAAAAAAATATTTATAAAGAAAAATATGTTTATATAACTTCACATAAGTAGCATAATAATACAAAAATTCAATATGCAGTTGCCGAACAAGGTACAAACATTGATAAAAAACAAATATTCAAAGATCATAAATGCTAAATGTATCTTAATATAATAATTTTCTAAACTAAAATTTTTAGACATAATAAGCAAAACTAAACACACAAGTTATTTATCAGTGATAACCCTATCATGTGTGAGATTTGATCGATTGACAATATTAGAGTGACAACGAATTAGTTTTAATATTAGCCTTAATTCTAAAGTTTAAGTATTCAAAAGTGACAATTTTTATTTAAAATAAAATATTTATTATATTAAAAATATATCTTCTTATATTAGTGTAAGTCTAAAATTACTTATATTCGATTTGAGTATTTTATTTTACAATTTATAATTTATTATTTTACTGACTATTAAATGTAAGCTAAATAAAAAGTTCAAATCGAATCTAAATTTTTTAAACTTATATTATTATGAGAAGATTCTTCTCCATATATATATATATATATATATTGTGTAATTCGTTATTGTCTTATCAACATAAATTTTATTATAAATAAGAGTATAAAAAATTATAATAATTAATATATATGAAAATAAATTTTATTTTTTTATAATTATAAAAATATATAAATTATTATTCCTTATAACAATAATCAAAAGTAATAATTCAAGAAAGGGAGTAACACATAACTTCAACAATGAGTAATCATGATATTTTAACATAAAACTTGTAATGAAATTACGATATCACCTTAAATTGAAATATAAATGTGTTCATAAAATAAGTACTCATGTAGTATCATTTTTAACACTTAACTTCTCATCTAAATAATTTTAGAGAATATGTTTTTTCATATTTTAGAAACAAAATTAGTGATTACTTAATAAACTAGAATGATTAATTATTAATATATAATTTTAGCAACTAATTTTTTTCTTATTTTCAAAATACTAAATTGATGTCTTCCGGTAATTTCAGAGACTAAATGCTATTTTTTCAATTGAAAAGACTCAAACCTTATTTTTATAATACTTTAAACTTAAGTAAACAAATAGCTGAAATTTTAGAGACTAAAATAACCCAAAAAAAAAAAAAAACACTTACAAAAAGACTACAACACAGAATCTCCCATGAAAAAAGAACAGATTGTATTTTTCTTAGAAGGAACCGCTGAACCATAACCAACAGGGGTTAATTTTTTGTTCATTATATAAAACGCACTAATATAAAGAATAACGGGCCTTTCGCCAATCGCCAGTGTGAAACCAATATCGAAAGGAAAATGACTTGGTTTTTATCCTTGAATAAATTTTAATTATGTTTATTTTTATTTGTTAAGTAATCAAAGAATAATTTAAAATTTCCTTACAGTACTTTAAACAGTTTCTTAAATATTGAATAGAAAACATTAAAATCTTTTTATATTTTTAAAATACCAACATATACTTTGTCTAATATGAAAATAATTATTAAAAAGTAAATTATAATAAGATATATCCCAGCTCGTGCTGAAAAGTGAAAGCATATCCATATTCAACTCTAGTCACTTGGTAGATAGCGTAATTAACGATATCACGATATAGAAGTACTTGTAATGTACACTTCTTAGTTTGTAGTGTTTGAGGGAGTTACCTTCCTACTCTGGACCTAGAAAAGTAGTTTCATTTGCAATGAAGTCTAATAATTCACACACGCACAGCACATTCTTGGGTTTTCTTTTTTAACATGTATTTAAAAATATACAAAAAAATTTAATTAATAATAAATTTTTATTGGAAATTATAATATTTAATATTATGATTATTGTATCTTATAATTTCCAATAAAAATTTACTACTATACACAAATTTTTATTGTATATCTTTTAACACACGTCAGGAAAACTGAAATTTCTTTCTAGACGATGTTTTGGTGTTGGTTTGGTTACATTTGTCTAATTTGTTTTCTAGAACAAGCCTGCGGTACTTTCCTCCAATGACATGTTCATTAGATCTTCGTTGCATTGAGCTGCACCATCATCGAAAAGCCAATTCTCCAGCAACATGAGAGGGACTTGTGTTTCCTGGTTCGGCTTGCTTTCATCAAAGTTGGTGTTTTCATCAACTGACACAGATTGAGAACGTTCAGAATTGAAGCTGAGCAAAGAGTCCAAAGCATGGTCCTGTGTGCATGTGATGGTGCTTTGTGCCCCCTCACTAGAACTGGAACCTGTGGTCACCATGTTGCTGAATGAGTTTCCTGAATTTGTTTCGGTTGAGTTTGGGGATTTCTTCATCCAATTCTCGAGTAATCTAGCTATGTTCTCAGTGCTCGATGCGTATTGAGGTGATGTTGGGTTTGGTGTTGTGGGGTGATGGAAATGAGAAGTGGAGGGTAGTTTGGTCTCAGGGAAAATATGGGTTGGTTTGTCAAGGGATAGTGCCTCACATAAGGCTTGTTTAGCCATGTGGATATCTGTTTGAAGCCTTCTCTCCCACTGACCCTTTGGCTCTGAACTAGAGTGTCCTTCTTTGCCATGACCATCTTCACACCCAGTTTGAATCTTCTTCAGCTTTTTCTTCAAATGGGTATTCCAATAGTTCTTTATGTCATTATCTGTCCTCTGTGGAAGATAGGAAGCTATGGCAGCCCACCTGCAACCATATATATGTAACTCAGCAACTTAGAAGCGTAGAAAATATCATTATCAAATTAAAGTATACGGTCCCCAAAACTTTTCTCCCCATTAGTTTTCCGAACATATTCTTGCTAACTTCTAAAAATAATACACAAGCAGTTAATGACTAAAATAACTTGAATATTTGTATTTTTAGGGATCAAAAGTCAAGCTTTTACAGTACTAGAAACAAACGTGTTCTGGACGAAAATTTTCAGCAGGAACAAAAATTTAGAGCTTTAGCCCTGAATTATTTTGGCTTTAAAATAACATATATTGTAGAGGAATAAAGGTATATGCAGAAACGAGAAAGAGAAAGTTGGAGTAGTTGGTACCTGTTGCCCAAAAGCGCTTGGAGGTGGATTATCATTTTCTCTTCATGATCAGTGAAATTACCGCGTTTGATACCAGGTCGGAGATAGTTAGTCCATCTGAGTCTGCAGCTTTTGCTGCATCTCATCAACCCTGAAAAAGAAAATTTAATTAATGACATATTAAAAAAAAATCATAAACATATATCCCTTAACAAGTAACCACAATGAGAAGAGCACAAGAATTACACATGCACCTTTCTAGACTAATTTAATAAACAATAAACGGAGCTTAATTTAATTGTAAATTATGAATAGATAATTTATCAAATGTTGAATTCTCTATTATTTTTCTCCTTACCTGTGCTAGTGGGAACCGATCTCCAATTGCCAGGTCCATGTTCTTGAATGTAAGAGACCAAGATGATGTCCTCCTCTGGAGTCCAAGGGCCTTTCTTAATCCCAATTTTGTCACAGCAAGGTGGTCTTCCCATGTTAAGCTAATAACCCTCACTGAATTCAGAGAATGAGACAGAATACGCTATTTCTTAGAAATGCAGAGACAAGCGTCTGCAGCTGGGGCTGGCTTGTCTATTTTATTAGGCACATATATATAGACAAGAATAGAGGAACAAGCTCCGTTTAATCGCTGACTAAATAAAAATTGAAGTAAAATAAAAAAGAGTCAAAACGGACAACCAAAGCATTTACTCGCGCTTCCAAAAGTCAGCTATGCGTCTACCCTTCTCTCTCTTTCACAATTAACATTTCACACAAATCTGTGCGGCATTCAATATGCCAACAGTGGAAACACCCAGAAAGGAGGAAAAATATACTAATATTTTACTATGCACAAAATACTAACTATTACTTACTTTTTATCGTCATGAATAATTAATGTTTTTTATACTTTTATCTTTAATAATTAATGCTTGTTTAGTAAAGACCAGTAAATAAGTAAGAGAAACAGAGATAAAAGGTTAACTAATTTCTCTTATCATTGTTATTAAAACAAATAATTATTAATATTTTTTAAAATTATAAAAAATAAATACTCATTTTTAAATGTATTAATTGTTAAATTCTTTTTAAACAAGGTCGTTACCCTTTAATTTTATAAGTGAACACATTTATATGTCACACCAATTAATATTATAAATATTTCTAAAACAGAATATAAATTTATAATATATAACTACCTTTTAATAATAAATTAAATTTATTTCTTATAAATAGGACTATAAAAAGATTATTTTTTAAAGATGAAACTTATATATTGTTATGTAGATGTTATGTGTATTCTTTATCTATTAAAATCAATGTTTTATTTTAATAAAAGATATAATAAATATTATTATAAATTATCGATGTGAAACTTACATTGTAATTAAAAAATATCAAAAGTATTTAAATATTGTATTTAAATTTTTTAATTAAAAATTAGATAACTTTTTATATTTTATTAGTATTATTTATCAATAAAAAATTAGATTTTTATCTTAATAACGTGATGATATTGAATATAAATATTTTTATTAAAATGAAACTTTAATTCTAATTATAAATAAATTTAATAATATCTAAAGAGTAATAATAGTTCACTCATTCTCATTATTTTTAATACATCCTTACCTAAAAATTATTTATCTATTTCTTAACCATTATAATATGAATATATTAGAGAAAAATTTCCTTTACTATCAAATTTGAAAGGTTTGATCGATTTCTTGGTATGAACGAGGGTGCGGCAAATTTTGCCTTTTCCTTCATGAAATAGTGTCGCTGTTGCTATCTAATAATTCGAGCTTTTGGATATAGCAAGTTGTTTTCAACGTAATTAAACCTCAGGCCTTGTGATGCGTGCTTCATCATCCTGTGGTTCACAAGTTTTTCAACAACGCAGGCAGCATAATGGAGAAAGAACAATATTAGTAATGTAATTTAATTAGCTTTTTTAATTTTTATTGTTTTATTAAATTTTAGGGTAACATTAATTAGACGAACATGTTTTTTCTGTCAATAAAATAAAACAATAGTTTTCCATATTAGAAGAAAAGTCGTTAGGGATTTTTGATATTTTTCGAATAAGAAAGTCCCTTGTCGGCTATTTAATTGAAGAGCTGTGATTTTTACGTATTTATCTGAGTTTAATTATCCCTGCGTTTCTTTCTTATCAAATGTCCCAGTGTCAATTTCCGTTTCAACATCCTTAACTGCAAATAGTGAATGGTGAAATTGACTAAGAAAGTGGCAGAGATTATTAATTCTCGATTCTTCTGTAACAATTATTTTAAGAATTTTAATTTATCACACTTATTAGTAAGTTTTTTTAACCTTTAAAAGTTATTTATTTGTTATAAACGTCTTCTTTATTTATTATACTACCTTGAAATTTAAGTGGACAAAACGATATTAATAAATAATAATAATTAATTTTTATTTAAATATTTTAAATTAAAAAATGAATGTGAATAAATTTTATCTTTAAATAGATAAATAAAAATAAAGGTAGCACTTTTAACTTTTTCCATTTCTAAAGATACAGGCTGATTTAACCTTTATTTAATGGTAATTAGAGAATTTCGAATCTCATTCATACAACTTTTAGTTGACGGAACTCCGACGAACTTAAGTAAGAAAAAGAAAGAAATAATTGTCTGTTTAATTTTTGTTTCCTTTTGAAAAAATAGAGAATAATCTCCTCAAATTTATATATTTTTAGAACCAAGATATTTTAAAAATAATAGGGTACTGAAATAATGCTTCATATTAACTCATTATTAGACTTATTCATCTCTTTTGGAAGAACTAAGGTAATTAAACAAAGAGAAATGTAAGCAATATTTTTTAAAAACACACTCTTTTAATATATTTATTATTTTTAATCTATTTTAATAAAAAATTAAAGTATTTATTTTATAAATTAGTAATATTGTAAAAAAATTATTTTATTTAAGAAAAACTAACAAATGTACGTTGAAAAATATATATTCAAAAGGAATATATTCTTAGTATTTCTTGGACAAATAATAGGGAATTAAAATAATACTACTACACCTAGTCTTAAGAGAGAAAGGCTAGTTACTAGTAAACATCATTAGAGTAGTTCATCTCTCATATTAGTAATTTTTAATTGAAATACAATGATCTCATATATTTTCTCACTATATTTCATTCCAACTTCCAAATTGAAATATTTTTAATTCAATTAATTCCAGGCGCAAACTCAATTCCATCTCTAAGAAAAACATTCTATCCCTTTTATTTTCCAAAATAAATTGAATGCCATAATCATCTCATGCACTTTTTGATGGTTGCAGGCACAAATGCGACTAATGCACTCATAAAGGCATTTGTGAAATTATTGTGAAGACCTTCAATATCTTAATACTATAGTCATAAATATTATTAGCCACAATTGCAACTATATACCGAATTTAAAAACCTCAAACTTTTTATTTATATATACATATAACCTTTTTTCATAGAAAAATTTAATATTTTTCATCTCACTTAAATTAAATAATTATTTTATTTTATTCCTTAAATTTTTTCAATTTAATTTAATACTTTAACCTCTCTTTCTTTAACACTTTTGTCTTCTCATTATAATGGCGTTAGATTCTACTGTTAGTTTGCTGGAATCTCATCAATAATTAAGTTTTTGGTGATGAACTAGTTCATTTTATCCAATTTGATTCTCCATGTAAATCACAAAATTAATATCGGTTGATTTCATCCTTGATATTTATAAGATTAAAAGTGATCATTTCTGGGTTGACCTAAAAACCTTTACTTGACCCAATTGAAGTCAAAATAAGTTTTGTGGTTTAGACAATAGAATATAATTAGTTTTCTAAACTTTAAACAAACACGATGTACTTCAAGTTGGGTATTAAATTTGTGCTTTTCAAACCCATTGAACTCGATCCAACCAGAGTAAGCATATTAAAAAATAAAAAATATATTTCATATTGAACACCAAGCCAAAAATAAGAATCACCAATTAGTAAGTCTCAACCCTAACTATCAAACAACGTAAGAACACATGCACACACATAGCTTCCCTATCCCTTTATCTATTGACCTTAAGCCTTGATGAGGTTGTCCCTGCCTCATTACGATTGGCTTGCACTCTACGCTTGTAGAACCTTTCTACACTGTCATTGACTCACACACACACACACACACACATGTTTCCTTTGTCCCTGGAGGCCCTCATTATTGATAACTCAATACCTTTCCCTTCCTCCTATATACATGCCCTTGCTAATTGGGTGTCTCTCCCTCCCTTGCTAACTCAATGTATAATGTTAATAACAAGATACTAGGTTCTTCTCATTTTTATTTATTATAAACTTAACTACCCAACCAAAATCAAATTATTTATGAGTTAGTTCCGGTTGAGGTTTCAAATTAAAAAGTGGAAGAAATAGAAATAACCCAACTTGTACTGTTTTATTGAAGTGCATATATATGTTTTTTCCATAAAACTTGAACTACTTCAACTTATAATCACCCTTAATAAAAATAAATAAATTTCATCTCTAGCTTTAAGAGAGTCACCGATGATTAAAAGAAAATTATGAAATTAAATTAACAAACCTTAATGTTTAAAAGTAATTTGATAATAAAATATTTTTTTAAACTTTTAAAATTACTATGACTTTATTTAGTAAAACAAGATTGTAAGCTTGTAATTTAAAGTTAGCTAAAAGTTATAGATTTGTAACTAAAATTTTATAATTATATACATAATTTATAAATTAAATTATTTAGTAAATTATTTGTACAAATAATTATATTTTAAATAACTAAAAAAACGTAATATTATATTATTATAATCTTAAAATTATATATCATTTATTTTATATAAAAATAAATTTTTATTTATATATATTATGAATGTAAAATATTTTAAATTAAATTTATTTTTATATAAAATACATTTAGATAGAAGAGATATAACAATAAATAAAAAATAAAAAAATAAAAAAATTAAGATTATCATGAATATAAAGAAAATAAAAAATAATAAATTTAACATATATATATATATATATATATATATATATATATATATATGTATATATGTAAAGCTTTACGTGTGCAACGCGTAAGTTGTTGTTTTTTAAAAATAAATAAATAATAAAAATATTAATAGTTAATTTTTGAAAGTTTAATATTTTTTAGATAATTTAAAAAAATTAACTTTCAATAGATACAATTTTTTATATCATTTATTTATTAAATAATTCTATAAATTTATTAACAAGTTCATAAAATTTAGTTTTTTACAAGTTATATTTGGGAGACTCACTTGGTAGTTAAAAAAAAGTCATAAAATAAATTAACAAACCTTAAAAATTAAATTTGATAAAAAAATATTTTCATTTTATCTTTTAAAATTGTTAAATTAATCATTATAATAATTAAATGTGATCATCATTGTTCATTGGTTTTGAAAATTTAACAACACGAATCAAATTAGTTGACAGTTATACAAAAGTCATACATCAAATTGACAACCTCCAACGTTAAAAATTGAAATGACTAATGATTTACCAATTTCAAAAATTAAAATA